CAGGTGGCTTATTGCTTACCCCTCCACGGACCTCTAAGATCTGAGAGCAGAGGGAGAGAATGCAATAGGCTGGTAGGACAGCTACAGTGAGAAGAGGAAGTCACACAGTCCCCAGGTCAAGGAGTCAAACCCTGGGCTTGGCCTTTAGCCTTCCAGGGCCAGAACAGCATCTCTTTCTTCTGAAGAGGTTGCCTGAACTCCCAGGATGGAATGTCAGATTTCTGGCCTCTGATCAGCGGTTGCTGGGATTCCCTGGTGTCTCAGAAGTCCTGGAGCAGTAAACAAGGTTTCTCTCCAAGAATTTCTTTCCCAGTGAGTAAGCGGCCAACTCTCCTGGCAGAAATGTCTTTTCTACCCAACCTGCACCCGGGAGGGTGGGAGTGTGGCCGGCCCTCAGAAAGGGCCCCTGAGGCTCACATGTTCCAGGACTGAGAACGTGCACCTTCTTCGGAGGCTCAGAACTCCCAGTCGTCCACCTCCAGCTCTTCCAGGTTTGTTACCAGGCCAAAGATCCCGCTGTGATCCTGAGGCTGACTGCCCTCAAAACTGGTGATGGGGGTGACAGGGCGAAGTAACTCAGGCAAGGCCTCTGAGGCGCGCCGCTTGATCTGAGGGAGGAGACGCAGTTAGGGGTGGATCCTGTTGCTCTGGGTCCCAGGACACCATCGGGCAAGAACTATGGCCCCATGACAGTTGGACTGTTAGAGCCAAGAATCTCTATGAGAGGAAGGCACAGCACCTTTAAGGGGCTTCAGAAAACTGGGCATTTCTCTTTGATTCAAAGGGAGGAGGAGAGAACACCTAAGGACCCCGAAGCTAAGGGGGTTGAGGGTCGTTAGAAGCACAGGCAAGAAGAAAATCCCAGGGAGCCTCAGGAGAGTGCTACTATACCTGCTTGAAGAAAGAGTGGTTCAGGAGGGTACTGGCACTTGGTCTGTGGAGAAAGGGGAAGAGAGCCCAGCATTACCCCTGTGCCCCAGGATTCCCAAATCCTGCTGCTCACACCTTATCCCCAGGCTCCCTCTGCTTCTTCCCTCAGCTCTAGAAGAAACAACAGCCCGAGCTACCCAGGTCGCTTCTTAGCAAACCGTTGTGTTGATCCCTCTGGCCGCAGGAGCTCGGGACTCCTCCAGGAACCCAGCCCTCCACAGAACAGATGAATCCTCTCAAACCCTGCCTTTGACCCCCCAGGCCCTCTCTGCCCCCCACAAAGCCCGGCTCCCAGCCCACAGGAAATACCTTACGTCTGGACTACGCTGAAGGCACTGCTCCACAAAGTGATGGAAGTGGGGGGAAAAGGTGCGGTGATAGGGGTGGGAGGGCGAGTCGCCATTGGAGGTCCTGGGGGTGCTGGTGGCCAGGCTGTCACTCAGGCCAGAGTTGGCTGCTGAGCGTGAGGTGCTCATGGTCAGCTCCTCGGCAGGGATGGTGCTGGTGTCCAGCAGGCAGGGCACGGTGCCATTCAGCTTCTCCAGCAGCATCTGGGGAGGACAGAGCCAGGACGCAGGCTGGAGGGGGGGCCCTGGAAGATCTATGGAGTTTCTTCACAAATACACTTTTCCCAGTATACAAGTGTGGTTTAGGGGAGCAGAGAAAAGAAAAGTGGAGTAAGTCTAGTTTTCTCAAAGGTATGCTGGCCACTGGCTCCGCAGCCATACCCCAGCTCAGCCAAAGGGAAGAGGAGGAGAGGGCCTGCAAGAATGCACCCTTCCGCCATGGCTGCAAGGAAGGTCCCCGTCTTCTCTCCTGTTTATAAGACTTCTTCACGTCCTTTTAACTGTAGAGCACTCACCCTAGGGTGAAGGCGGCTGTCAGGTCATTGTCTTTGGAGCCCAGCCCCAGTCTCTTGTGCCCAGGTGGTTCAGGAGGGGTGTGTTACACAGCGCCTGTCAGGCACGCCCTGGGTTGTCGCTGCACCGGAGCAGGGTGCCCAAGGGCCGACTAAGCTTGGGCAGCTGTGCCACAAAGTCCTCTGATGCCACACATGCAAAACAGCCCCAGCTTGGGGATTGCTGCCCTTGGGGTTGTCCTCCTGAACTTCCAGGCCAGAACCCAGAAGTCTCTCTAGAGCTGTGCTGTCTAATGTGGCAGCCACCAGCCACATGTAGCTATTTATACTTACATGAAATTTGGTTTAAAATTCAGTTTCTCAACCTCACTGGCCACACTGTAAATGCTCAACAGCCACAGGTGGCTAGTGGCCACTGTACTGGGCAGCATAGATAAGAGAACGCTGCCACTACCTCAGAAGATGCTATTGGATAGTGCAGCTCCTGTACCTCTCGTTCACCTTAAATAGCCGCCTACCTTTCCTGAGCACTTTCTGTGACTCTCTTACTTAGATTTTCTAGACTTCTTACTGAGGTTTCCATACCCTCCTAATGAGTCTGCTAGATCTAATCTACCTGCTATTGTGATCTTTCTGAACTATGTATCTGATGCTATCACTCCTGGGCTTAAAAGCCTTCAGCAATTCTCCATGTGGTTTGGGACCGGAACCAAATGCCCTGGTGTGGCACACAAAGTCCTTCATGCTCTGCCCTGGCTTCCTGCTCCAGCAACATCACCCAGCAGCCCCCCAGAAGCACCTGTACTTCAGCTATTTGTAACCATTGCTATTCCCCAGATCCTATCCCTGTTTGACTCTGGGTCTTTGCACATGCTGTTCTCTCTGCCTAAGTTTCCTTCTAGTTCCCATTCCTCACACAGCAAACAATTACTATTTGCCTTCAAGACTCAAATGTCACCTCCTCCCAGAAGCCTCCCTGGGTCCCCTGCTCTACAGAGCTCCCCTCTGGCCACTCTCTAGCTGCCCCTATTCCCACAAGGCAGTCTGTGGGTTCAAGGGAGAGGCTCACTCAGAGCCTCCACCCCTCCACCCCCTCCCAGTTCTAGATCATGCTCCAGATACTTAGGATTCAGGTAATTCTTGCCAAAATGACCCGAGTCTGCTTCCTAGACTTGATAAAGCCTCATAAGCCTCTTCCCTGGTCTGTCTCCCAAAGGTAGACTATGCCACTGGCTGTGTGTGCCAAGGAGTGGCCAAAGGACAGTCATTGTAAGGGGCATGAACAGATGTTGAACTTGTAGGCTGGAGGTTCCAAAGGTATTGGCCAGAATATGGTAGCACAGAACCCGAGAAGCCTGAGAACTCTAAATTAGAAACTGGCCTTCCAGGTATATTTATCAAGGTAGGACAGACATATTTTGTAAATTTATGAAATTCATCTAAGTAGACAACATGGTATGTGGGCCTCCATTTGCACACCTGCTCCAGGCCCTGCAACAGTCAGTGGCAGGCCTGCTCCTGGGCTCTCCTTCTCCAGGGTCCCCTCCCACAGCAGGGGAAGGCAGTGGTGGGCAGGTAAGAAGGAAAACAGGCTGAGGGCTCACCTGGGTGGCAGGCATATCCTTAAAGGGGACATGGCCATTGGCCAGCTCACAGGCTGTGATTCCCACACTGTAGATGTCAGACTTGGCATCGTAACCCTGCAGATTCTAAGTCAGGAGAAAAAAGCCATAGATCACTCCATTTGTAGCCACGGTTGTTCTTAGAAGAGACCGGCATGGGGCAACATCCGAGGGGAGGAAGACAGTATCTGTCTCAAATCCAGCCCACTTTCCTTGCCTGTACTACTGAAGAGTAGCTGATATTGTAAAGGAATGAATGATGCTGTGTAACAAGCAGGGAGAAGTGTGGGTCCCCATACTCCTGCTTAGTGGAAGGATGTGGAGAGCACTGAGTATTTCAGGAATGCTCACTCTTCCTATAAGGAAGGTCTCTGAAGGGAACTGAAATAGCATTAGGTCCAGTTTGGGACTCCACAGAGGAGAAACACCACCATGTGCAATGGGCTGAGAGGCCTCCCGGGTCCGCCTACCAGCAGGGAACCCCTCCCTCTGGAACCCCTTACTCCACTCAGAAGCAGAGCACTCCCATCTAGGGAAATTCCTGAGGGCTCCCTAGGGAAACTGTGAATTGGTGAGGGATAGGGGCTTCTCAGGACTCAGTCCACAGACCTGCTGGAGGACCTCTGGGCTGAGCCAAGGCAGAACCTTGACACTGTACTTGGGAAAGTCGTGGACCACACGCTGCCGCTGCCCATGGCTGATCATGCTGAGGTTGCTGCGTAAACCAGACAGGTAGACCTTTCCCTCCGAGGAAATCAGAATGTGGCTGGCTTTGACGCTCCTGGGGTGGGGTGGGGTGGGGAGCAGAGAGAGGGTGTCACGGGGCCACAGGAGCCCTTCACGTCACAGACCTCTGATCTTCACATACTAAGTAAATATTATATACACATAAACACATTTTAATATAATACATGCATAAAAAAAGAGAAAATAGCATGACCCAATTTACATACCACCAGATTTTAAATCTTTATATTTTGCTAAAGTTCTTTTAGGCTCACAGACCACTGCTTTGAATCTGTGGGTATTCTTATAAAGTGGATCATGGTGTGATATCCATATATTTTCAATTTACCTAAAGGTACTGTGTTATGCATCCCATCCTTCCTTCACTCCTCAGTGCTGTTTGTAAGATCCATCCGTGTGGCCACCTGTATACAACCAACCTTTGCTTCTAACTGCCACCTGCACTCTGGGGTGGGATCGAACACTTCTACTGACCCCTTCTTCCAGGAAGGAACATTGATGCTGCCTCGAACCACCATGGATATGAATGATGGCATCTACCTATGTCCCCTGAGAGGCCTGTGTGAGGGTTTCTTTGGGGCGTACCCCCAGAGCAGCATTGACGGCCCCAGTGCCGAGTGACCCTGACTGGTTGCATTGGGCCATCTTCCACTGTGCGGTCAGGAGACCCCACCTCACCACACTGGGCTTCAGCCAGCTTCCAAATGACACTGGTCTCAGGTGTGTAAGGTGACATCCTCCTGTTTAATTTGCTTTTCTGATTCTTATTAGATTTGAGTGTCTGGTCATATTGAGAGTCCTTTGGGTTTCCTCTTCTATAAACTTCAAACCCTTTGCTCATTTTTGTTGCTTTGCTTACCCTTTTCTTATTGATTCACATAATTTCCTTGTTACTAATCTCCTGTGTGTTCTAGACACAGCTAACATCTTGCACGCTGTCACCCATTTCTTAATTTTGTCCATGGTGTTCTTTTTCGGAGATATCTTTAATCTTGATATAATCAAATCCATCATATGTTGTTTTGTGCTTCTAAAATATCTAGACATTCTTCTGTGCCTCAGGTCACAAAAATATTTCCTTCTATCCAAGTCTGTAGTTTTATATCAGACATTTAGGCCTTAATCTGTCTGAATAGTGCTCCTTTGTACGTGGAATTAGGTAAGGGTCCAGCTTCCCTACTGTGAGTGTCTTTTCCTAATACCATCTATTAAGCAGCCCCTCGCCCCAGCCTCTCAGCACAGGGCTGACTGTGGGGCACACATGCAAGTTTAGGTGCTCCAAGGAAGGAGGGGGGTGGGGCACAGAGGCCCATGCCAGATGTTCTTCTCACACAGCACTCAGGACCGAGCTGCTCAGTAAAGAGAAAGTTGGCACCGATAGGCTAAATGCTCTACCAAGTCAGAGGCAAGGACAAAATCCCAAGCTTTGATTTAAACTCTGACTTCACTAACTTCAGTCAACCTTCTCCTCCCTTCCCCTGTTTACTTGAGGGCTCCTGGGCACAGATCCCTGCTCTTGTCAAGGGCGATTATGCCTAAGAATGCACCTGTGTACGTATCCCATGTGGTGGATGTAGTCCAGGGCCTTGAGCACCCCCTGCAGGATGTAAGCAATCGCCAGTTCATTCATGCCATCCATGAAGTGTGTGCAGATGAGATCCTTTGCAGAACCTGAAGAATTGTGGGGACACGGGGAAGGGTAACAAAGAAGGGAAACAGACATGAACCTGCTGACAACAGCGTTCTCAAAGCACCTCTCTGCCAGGACCCCTGTTCCACTCACCATACGCCATGAATGATGTGACAACCCACAGCTCATTGTCTGCAATAAAGGTGGCTCGATATGGCAGGATATTGGGATGGCTGAAGAGTTTAGAGACATGAAGCTCCCCCTGAAAACAATGGTAAGCGGAAGTCAGAATCAAGGGGTGCTGAAGAAGACGCTCAACATGAAGGTGGTGGCAAGAATAACATGGGGACCCAGTCTTTCCTGGAGCTCTTCTCAGAGTCCTGGGAGCAGCCCAAGCAGGTGGCCACCCACATGAGAGAAGCCCGGCTCTGCTGTCTCCACAGGGAAGCCAGCACTGCTCTGCCAGCTTCTGCCTGCGTTTGGCTCCACTAGCCAATCTTGGAGCCTCAAGAAAAATTCCCCACCAACAGCGAAACTGCTAACAACACGGTAGAGGGTCACAGCTCGCCACGTCAGAAATGATGAGAACCGGGGCGCCTGGGTGGCGCAGTCGGTTAAGCGTCCGACTTCAGCCAGGTCACGATCTTGCGGTCCGTGAGTTCGAGCCCCGCGTCAGGCTCCGGGCTGATGGCTCGGAGCCTGGAGCCTGTTTGCAATTCTGTGTCTCCCTCTTTCTCTGCCCCTCCCCCGTTCATGCTCTGTCTCTCCCTGTCCCAAAAATAAATAAACGTTGAAAAAAAAAATTTTTTTTTAAATTAAAAAAAAAAAAGAAATGATGAGAACCAACAGTTGACTGAAGACTTATAAAGTAATAAGCTTAGTTCAACTTCAAGGGCCAAGGCACAGAACTCCTCTTTAAGATAAGAAAACAAAAAACACTGGGGCACCTGCGTGGCACAGTTGGTTAAGCATCCGACTTCGGCTCAGGTCATGATCTCACAGTTCGTGGGTTCGAGCCCCATATCGGGCTCTGTGCTGACAGCTCAGAGCCTGGAACCAATTCTGTGTCTCCCTCTCTCTCTGCCCCTCCCCCCACTCACACTCACCGCCCCCGTCTCTCTCTCTCTCAAAAATAAACATCAAAAAAATAAAAAAAGGAAAACAAAAAACATTTTCCTCTTAAAAGGAAAACGTTGTAATCGATAGGACAAGGAAACAAAGTTATCAGAGAGCAAACACGAACTACTAGACAGCCGAAGGTACTTCTCCAGCAACCTAGGAGCGAGAGAGCAGCTACAGAAAGTGTCAGACCTGTGGGATTTTAGAATGAATTTGGACAAAAGAACTACAGAAACTCAGGGGTCCTGGCCTCTGGGACATGAGCTAAAGGCCAAACAGGCAATACTTTCTGCCTATCTACTGCTCCAAAGAATTTAAAAAAGAATCCTAAAGTCCAACATGCTCTAGAATGAACTCAGATATCTTTCTTCCCAAATAACTCAGCTGGGACTGACTTTCGGTCCCATCCTCAGACCCACAAAACTACTCTGAACACGAATGGGTGTTAGAGCACCATCAGAAGAGCATGAATTCAGGGAAACACTGTGATGAAGAAGAGGGATAGGTTGCAGTCAAACTGCTGAAAACACACTGACCCAGGCCCTGAATCTAAAGAGCTCCCGGTGCAAGCCTGAGTCAGGGAGGAACCCAGGCCCCTGCCAGCTGCTCTCAGATCTGTGGTGTCCCCTGTAACCAGAGGGCAGCTACCTCCTTCTCCAACAGAAAGGAACCTCAGGAAACAGGACAATGAGAGCCAGAAGGTGGCTGTCACGGCAAAGCAGGCTGCCCCGGATCTGGAGCAAGACTGCCTGGGTTTGAATCCTGTCTCTACCACTCACTAGTATGTGTGACTGTGGGCAAGTTACTCGGCCTCTCTGAATAGTAAATAAATGAATAAATGAGCCACAAAGGCATCTTTGGAGAGGAAGAAGGGAGTATAAATTGGCCTGAGCAGAATTACAGAATCCTTAGTGCCAAATGCCCACGATTCTTCGTTAAGAGCTTCTGTTAACTTCCTGGTTTGGTCCGCCTTCATTTTCTGCCCGCTATTTTCAGAAGACAGATGTAAGAGTTGCCTTGTAATTGCGATTGGAACTAAGAGCCCATCCTTGAAGTGTCCCAACACATTTTATTACCTGCAAGAACGTCACCATCTCATTGGAACAAGCTTCCAGGTTAATCCTTCGTACCGTCACGTACTCTCCTGTCGGTTTGTACCTTGCTAGATTCACTGTCATCAGGTCCTCAAATCCTTTGCCTAAAAGAAAAGGAGAATGTCATGAACAAGTTCAATGGCAACAGAGGTAGCCTTAAAGAGACTTCATTTTAAATGAGAACTCGGGGCGCCTGGGTGGCTCAGTCGGTTGAGCGAACGGCCTCAGCTCAAGTCATGATCTCACGGTTTGTGAGTTCGAGCCCCGTGTCGGGCTCTGTGCTGACGGCTCAGAGCCTGGAGCCTGCTTCAGATTCTGTGTCTCCCTCTCTCTCTGTCCCTCCCCCACTCATGCTCTGTCTCTCACTGTCTCAGAAATAAACATTAAAAAAAAATAATAATAAAAAGAAAACTCAAAACTTTCACTAACAATTCCCCTTGTGGGTGACATTTCTTGATTTTTCTCCTATCAGTTCCTTCTCAGCCAACCACTTGAAGTGCCTATGGTCCAGGACATCAGAAGCCAAAAAGAAAAAATTGCAGAAGAGCTTCTCTCCTAGGGATGCCTGGGTGGCTCAGTCAGTTAAGCGTCTGACTTTGGCTCAGGTCATGATGTCACAGCCAGTGAGTTCGGGTCCCGCATCGGGCTCTATGCTGACAGCTCCGAGCCTGGAGCCTGCTTCAGACTCTGTGTCTCCCTCTCTCTCTGCTCCTCCACCACTCACGCTCTCTCTCTGTCTCTCAAAGATGAATAAATGTGAAAAAAAATAATTAAAAAAAAAAAAAAAAAGAGCTTCTCTCCTGGTAACATGATCTCTTTTCCCAGATTTGGAAGACAGAAGCAAAGGAGAGTCACAAAAGCCAGTTTTGTCACCCTGAGTCCTGCTAACTAGCTGACAGCCTCTGGCACTCGCTGATCTGAGGATGCAGAGGAGGCCACAGGAGTGCCCAGGAGCCTGAAGGTAAAATAGCAGTGCTAGGACTTTACCTATGACAGAGAGTAGCTCATAGCGCCCTCCTTCCGGCAGGAAGCTACTCATGATCTCCTGTTTAGACAGGGATGCTATCGACTCTGAGCTCGCCTCATTGGTCTAAAGAAAAAGAAAAATAGGTTAATAAGAGAAAATTGGGTGTGGGATGGGAGTGGGGAGGGGGTGATTCAGACCCACAAGGAGACTGGCATCTAAACATACAAATTCTGACTCGGGGTCAAAGAAATAGGTCCAACACTATTCGATGAGAAACGTAGAACACCAGATGTTCACTGTAGTCATTAGCACTAACATCAGAGCCAGTAAGTATGAGCACCATCTACAAATAGGGGTAGGGGACAGGGGTGGTTCCTAGTCAACTGTTGATTGGCTTGTCCTTTCCAACAATTGGCTCATTTGCTAAAAAGTATGAAATTCTTACTTGGGGAAAGGATGTCTAGACAAAAGGCATGTTTAGAAAAGAGAAGGGGGATGGAGAAGTGAAGGGTTCTCTTGAATTTCCTGCTGTATTGGGGTCCTATTTTAGGGCCCTGACTACAAGACTCCAAAGGTCACATGCTGAATTTTGCTATAGGGGAAATTTGGCCATAAGAAGTACCCTCTTGAGCAAACCAAGAGCCCAGACCAATCATTCTCTGACATTTTCTTTCTTTAAAAAAAAAAAAAAATTTTTTTTTAATGTTTATTATTTTTGAGAGAGAGAGAGACAGAGAGCAAGCAGGGAAGAGGCAGAGAGAGAGAGAGAGAGACATAGAATCAGAAGCAGGCTCCAGGCTGTCAGCACAGAGCCGACGCAGGGCTCGAACTCACAGACCGCGAGATCATGACCTGAACTGTAGTTGGCCGCCCAACTTGACTGAGCCACCCAGACGCCCCAATTCTCTGACATTTTCAGGTGAAACAAGAAAACAGAACACATAGGGCTGCAGGCAAGGCACAGGGCTGTCACGTCTCAGCCATCATCCCAGGCAGAGGAAGTGACCTGCTTCCTGGTTCCTGCCGTAAATGAAGCTGGACCTCAACCAGTTAGGATGTGGGCATCACACCTCTGGGCTTTGAGGTCCTAAAGGAAAAGTGCCCAGCAAAATTGATGGCAGACCAACTCTCCCTTCAGCTCAAAAGGCTCAGACCTAAATTTATTTGTGTGATTTAGGGGCCATATTTTTCTTTCTTTTGGATCTTCTTTCCTACTGAGATGGAGTACCTTACGCCAGCTCAAATTTCATATGCTGTATTCCTAAACCTGACCTCGTTAGGAAAAGATCTTTGTGAACACAAGAAAGGCCCCTCACTCAGCACTAGCCAGAAGACAGGGAGTCAAGAATGTTCTGACATGGTGGTACCTCCTTGCTGGGGATCCCTGACGTTTCAAGGGCATCCGGTTTCAAGAGTTGATGGAACTGCCAAGGGGAAAGAAACCAAGTGGGGTTCTTCCTCTTGCACCACTTAAGTATGACAGTAAGAGGAATCTAGTCAACCAAAAGTGAGCCCTGTCAGCAAATTTCTAATTCAATCAATTTTTTATATTTCCAAGATTTATCCCATATTGTTGTATTTAGCCATGCTGTACACCCATGTTGTGTTAAGAGTCATCTTGTGAATATACCTGTTTATCCATTCCAGTGTTGATAGGCTTTTGGGGTTGTTTTTGGTTCTGCTCGTATGAACTGTGCTATTAGAAACCCATTTGAATGTGTCTCTTGATGTGTATATGCAAGAGATATTCTAAAGCTTATACCCAGAAACTGAATTGCTAGGTTACAGAGTATATGAACAATCGACTTTACAAAATAATGCAAAATTGTTTCCCAAAATGGTTAAACCAATCTACACTCCCTCCAGTACTGTATGTATGTTCTCATTGATCCATTTTCCCCCATCACTTAGTATAATCAGACTTAATTTTTTGCCAATCTCATTGTGAGTGTGATTTATATTTCCGTGATTGCTAATGAAATTGAGCATCTTTTCATGTATTTATTAGCCATGTGGGTTTTCTCTCAGGTGAAATTGGCTCTTTGTGTCTCTTTGTCCATTTCTCTACTGGAATGTCTTAATGTAGGATTTCCCCAAAGTAGGCCGCCTGGAACACTGACCTTGGCAGTTAACACATATAAATGGTTTACACGTCCAATTAAATGAGAAAATGAAGCATTCTCTCTCATGGAGAATCACAAGGTGTGCTGGCATAAAATGGCTTCAAGAAGTTTTGTAGTAAGGAAACTTGTTTAATTTGTTTAACCTAGCATTTCCCAAATCTACTTGTCCAGAGAACCTTTTGTATCTCATATCTGTTAAATTTTGGGAAAGGTAATTTGGGAAAAGCTATTTTAAGTAAAACATATGGTATTATGCAAAGACTATAGGCTCTGGGGCCAGACAGAGGCAGAACTTGAACTCAGGTCTATCACTTGCTCTATGACCGTGAGTAAATCACGCTAAATTCTTGGGATCTCTGTTGTCTCATTAATGGAATAATTCCCAGTTTGTAGGGCTGCTATGACAAATGAGATAAAATATGTAAAGATCTTAGTGCTACCTGGTGTTTCATAGGTATTCAGTAAATGTGAATTCTATTCTTTTCCTCCCTCTTTTGCTGCCTACTTACTGTTTGGTCACTCTCCTGTTCAACAAATAAGATGGAACAGAGAAAATGGAGAAACCAGAGTATGCGGGGTAGAGCTTGATCAATAGTTAAGGTTGGTTTGATTTTCACTTTTACAGTTATCTGTTTTCAAATGCTCTGAAAATACGTTCTAGGAACATTTATAGCCATTGTGGCTTCTTGACACTGTGGTGTTCAGAATAATCCCAAGTGCCTCTGCCAGCTGAGAGACACACACACAACTATGGGACAAAACAGAGTAGTAATTTGAGCAAAAAGCCCAAACCAGGAGCTCTGAAATGGCAACCTACCATTTGTTTAGAATTTATAAGCTGCAAGCTAAGTTAGTCTTGAGTCCCACCTTAACTTCATACCTCTCACCACCTGTGCATAATCTTATTCTACAGATCCTGTTTTCTCAACTATCAATCTACCCCTCATAAAATCAGCGTCATCAGTTAACACAAAACCCAGGGTGTGGCTTTCAGACCCAAAGTCCCTACTCTGATCTGTGAGTATCCACATGATTCGGCCCCTGCCTACTTCTAATGACTTCATCCCTTACCACATCCCTGTGACTTGCTACACTTGACCCATACGAACAGGTGCACTTCAATCTTAGGAAGCTCACACCAGCAGTCCCTTGGTTTGGAACATTCCTGCCCTACTCCTTCCTGCCCCTGCTATTTTCTCATAGCTGCTTCTTCCCTACCATTGAGATTTCAACTTAAATGTCGTCTATGCATTGAGGACTCTGAGCAGAAAGTAAAGTAGGCTCTCAGTCACTTTATTACGTCATCTTGTTTTACTTTCCTCACAGTAGTTATTATTGTGTTCATTGATCTGTTGCCTGCCTCCTCAATTAGAATGCAAGCTCCATGAGGATATAGATCCTGACTGTCTTGTCAATTTGGTATTCCCAATGCCTACAGTGATGCTGGCACATAAAAAGATGATTTAAACAAGTTTGAGCTGAGGTTTCCTGGCCATGACCTTGTCATTGCCATGAGTTAAAGAGGACTGTAGGCTACATGTACCAGCCAGTTCCACTGGAGACAGAGTTCAACATAATGACGTATACTGGAAAAACCAGCCCTCATGCAACGCACTCACTGGATCCCCTGCTGCTAGGGACACTTTATAGATCAGAATCTGGTACCTGCATGTGAGAAAGTACTGCATTTTTTAGCAGGTAGAATCTAGAACCACTATATATTTGAAGGTCTTCCCCCTGATCTCCAGGCAAACTCCAAAATATTTCTCTAATTTGAAAAAGAGGCTATGAAGGACAGCTGGAGTTGTGAGATTAAAGTGCTTATTAAATGCATTTAAAAAAACTCCCATGGGAAAAACTACTGATAGATACTTTTTCATTACCTATGACCCTCTTCCTTGCTAGAAGTGCATATAAGACATGCTGTCTAGGCAATACACTAAAGACATACACTTGCTGAGCCAAGGTAGGAAATTATGCATTAAACTACTGATATGATTAGGTAGTAACTTGACCAAATATTTCTACTATCTCTGTTGACTACAGAATAATACTCAAAAGTGTTAGTTTTAGGAAATACAATTCCTTAGTTAATTGGGAATACGAATTCTTGGCAATCTGGAATTGCAAGAAATGAATTTGTCTCTTGGTTATTGTCCTTGTCTCACTGGGAACACTCCTAAAATGGGCAATTTCTACATTGTGGATGTTCTACAAGTCTGAACTCAGAAACCGATCTTTATTTAGGAAAACAAAAACAGTGTTTTGAAAGGAAGAGGTCTGGTGGGATATCGCCACAAGAGAGGCGGGTTAGCTCAGTAGACTGTTTCAGAGTTAGAAAAGGACAAAATTCAGATGAAAAGGATGAAATGTTTAGTCCAGTCTCTTTAAAAAACACAGCACAGCATAGCTTTATTAGTATGATATATAATCTCAAATTGTCTAGAGAAACTAATTCTAGCAAAGCTGCTTCTTAGTTTTTTCCCACCATGAAAAGCACTGTTGTTTATTTTGAAGCATTTGAAAAATACATAAGCTACTGATATCCAGAAAGCACCATAAAATAACATTGTTTAAAGAGTTTAAAACAAAATACAAGAGAGCACACAAAGACTATATTTGTGAAATGCTACATCCACCCCCCCCACAGGTTTCACACAGGATAAGTCTTGGCATAACACCGGCAGCTGTGAAAATATAAAAATTATATAAAATGGGCATTCTCATCTGGAAAAATATTTAACTGATCATATAGGGGATGTTTTTAGTCTCCTGACTGGAAAATATTTGGATCTGATAGAGAGGTGCTCCTTACTAGAGCGTAGTCAAAGCTTCACTCAAAGAGAAATTCCTAGTCAACGTCACCACCCTTCTGCTGTTGGGGCTGCCTGCCAAAGGTGCAGATGTCTGTCATCTGAAAAGAAGAAGTTTATTTAGAAAAGCGTTCTTATCCTCTCTCTTTAGAAGACACTGATTCACATTATCAAAAATAGCTTGGTACACTGTGCACATCTGTGCACATGTGGTGTTATTTACTTTGGTAAAATAAACTACAAGAGTAGGAAACAGAACAAGTCTTCCAACCCTTGCCAATTAAATAAAAAGTACACTTTCTGTTTTGTACTTTTTAATGTGGGGTTTTGATTTTAAGGTAGGAGATTTGATATCCTGCCTATAATCTAGGGAAAGCTCTGTAGTATCTCTGTGAACTGAAATCTATCAGCAATAGACCACAGAGGAAAAATTTAGTATCACTAGCCACTAAAAGTAACCACATCTTAGATTGTCGAAATTTTCTTTTCTTTTCTTTTTTCTTTTCTTTTCTTTCTCTCTTTCTCTCTCTCTTTCTTTTTCTTTCTTTCTTTCTTTCTTTCTTTCTTTCTTTCTTTCTTTCTTTCTTCTTTTTGGAGGGGGCACTGGGCGATTGGTAAGGTTGGGAAGGGGAGGAGACCTTAATCCCCAAGAGAGAGCAAAAAGTGCCTGAGACTTTTTCAGCTTCTAAAGTACAGGTCAAAATCTTTCCAGGGTGAAACCTGACTTTCCACAAGTAAAAGAATTACACTACAAATAAAACTCAATGAAATAAGCAAAAACACAAAATGATAAGCCAACAAAAAACACAGATTTCCACAAGAAATCATTCCCATGCAACAGCCATAGAGCTCAAGCCTAGAAAGTCACTTACTTTTCTCCGAGTGTCACCCGGAGGCTGCTCTGGAGTAGAGAAATTGATTGTTGGCATTTTGTTTTTTAGCAGAAGACACATCCACATTCAGAACAGCAATTATTACACTTAGAACTACATTTATTAATAGAAACCACCTAAGAGTCATTATAGTAAAAAGTGTCCACAGTGCTATATATAAACACATACATGTACGTACGTACACACACACACACACACACACACACACACAGAGTAAAAACACTACACATAGATGGGGTTTTCAACATGAATCTATGGCTCTTGAAAACATGGCAAGGCTACTATTCTATGGGTATTCTTCTGAGTATAACTCAACTGCTATAATCCCAGTCTTACATTTACTTTCCATCAGCACAATGTTAGTTTCAATAGGCTGGTTTCAGAGTCTTATACTGTGAACAAAAAATTCATTATAAAGTTATAGAGATGGCCGGCTATTTCCCAGAGAGTGCAGAGGCTAGAAAACAGGCTTAAAAAAAAAAAAAAAAAAAAAGGCAAAAAAGGTTTTAGCAGCAACATGTACATGTGAGACCATAACCCAATTAGATTCACCAGACACATACATTCTATTCTGAATACAAATAAAGCAAGGGCTTTCTGGGCCTCTGCTACCCTTGGTGAAAATAAAGCAAAGGGCAACTGAAATAACATTCTGCTCTTAAACCAGACAAACTCTCTATCTGTCCTTTTTATTTTCTCCATTCTATAAAAGTGAAAAAAATCATCAAAGTAGATTTTTAACTGGAAAGTACTGGAATGATCACACATCTCCAAATATCTTAAATTAGAAATCAGAGCATCCAACTGTATTGTTGAAGGAGATTGGCTGCACAGTAAATTAGCCTCAATTTGTCAAAATAAGATTTTTTTTTTTTTTTTTTTTTGCCTTGGACATCAGTTTTCTGGTACACAAATGGCAGGTGCAGTTGCTTAAGACAGTCTGTTAAAGGTAAAAAAACAAGTGAATAGATTAAAGGAAATCAAGCCCAGTCTCACAGAGTAGAAGGCAAATTCCAGGTTGTATAAAATTTGATAATATATACTTCATCAAGCTGTAAGCAACATACAGAAAAACCTCTTCACTCTCCTCAGGTCAGTGATGAGGCAATTGTCAAAAGACCACCAGAGATCCCACACTCAAGACACTGAAACCAAAACCCCTTCATTCAGTTCACATATCCTGTAATATTTTTAACTAATTGTAAACTGGACTTCCAACTCAATTTTCACCAGGGCCAATGTTTACTTTTAAACACGGTGTTCCCGTTAATGATGAGAAGAAAATGAGAACAGGACCAGAATGCTGTAGTTTTGTTCCATTAGCTTTTCCTTTACTGTGCAGCTAATTTTTATTCTTCAGAACTAAAACAAAAAAACTCATCATGTTTCTAAACTTTCATTTGTCTAAAACATAACATTTTGACAGAGTTCACAAATAATACTCCTCTGGAAGTTCTTTGAATGCATTAGGGAAAATAAATTAACAGGTACCATTTAGTAACTAAAAAGTTTGAATTTTCAATGACCTGAGCCTACCCCAGGGTATTTTGTTTGGATCAGTCAACCAACACACTCAATCTGATAACCTGTTTCTTTAACTATAGGAGCTGAAGAGAGTGTCTTTGGTATTCAGACACAAAGAATGGGGCTCTAATATTATCATTTTTTTTTTTAACGTTTATTTATTTTTGAGACAGAGAGAGACACAGCATGAACGGGGGAGGGGCAGAGAGAGAGGGAGACACAGAATCGGAAGCAGGCTCCAGGCTCTGAGCCATCAGCCCAGAGCCCGATGCGGGGCCCGAACTCGCAGACCGCGAGATCGTGACCTGAGCCGAAGTCGGACACCCAACCGACTGAGCCACCCAGGCGCCCCTAATATTATCATTTGTATAGAAAATAATTTTCTTTGCTTAATAGCAGTTCTCAAAAAGGCTCAATTGGAAAACAGCCAAAGACAATGCCTGGCCCTGTTAAACCTCAAAGTTGCAAGGCTACTTCCGAAATCAACATGTGGATTTTACAACAGGAAGTTAATATTTTTGTCCTGACAGATTTTTTTCCTTAGTTCTCCTAAGTCTCATAATTTCTACCACAAAAAGATGAGTCAACTAGATTGATCAGTAAAACCAGAACTTTTATATCATTGCTACCACTGTCCTGACTATAGTTTTATTTTTAAAATCTTCAAGGTTAGAAGCTTTTGAACACTTAGGTTTTTTCCTTTAAGAATATGTATTTTAACTGGACAAATACTTAGAAGAAATAAATATGCCTTTAAGTAAATACTGACTTTCTAACAATCAAGACAGATCAAGGTCAACTGCCAGATTAGTCCTCAAATCTTTGGGAAACCATAGATTCAAAATGGAGCCAAACACATATAACAACTGTAATTTACACCTGCCCTTAGAATTGCTAATTTCTATAAATTGATTTAGTCAACAAGAGTAGTAATGTTTATCCTGAAGTGATGGCTAAATGCCGTACTGTACTTACCTCCAAATAGTTCCAAATCTCTTAAGCCCTCAACAATGAACTTTTCCGAGACCCACCGCTAAAGAGGAAAACCCCAAAGAGAATTAGTATTTCTTCCAAGCCACAAAAAATTAGCTATCAGCCATTAGACAAACAAATAAACTACAAAACCAGAATCATGCAGTATAGTTAAGATGCATTTCTATGGAAAAGTTTTAAAAAGAATCTTGAATTTAAATCAACTGAAAACAATAGGTTAATTCCTTCCTCTATCCTTCTGTGCCTAATTTGATAAATAATCCTTAAATCTCACAGACTGATGAGAACCATGTAGAACTGGCCCTAAACAAGAACAATGTTTTTGTTCTTCCTATATGTACAGCTACCTTCTGGTTCCATCTTAGTCATTCAATGGCTATTACAGATGCTTTGGATCATAAATGCCAATGTGAAAAATACTACTGAAATTCACAACACAGAAAACAGAGATGAAACTGTTTTCCACAATCCTCTATTAGTTTGTAAAAGAAAACAGTAAGCTGCATGTTCTTTCATCCACTAGGATTTCTAAAAACATCATCACCACACTTACATTTTCTATCAAGTTTACAAGGACCAAACTAGCAACACCAATCTGTGGTTCACTTTACTATCCTATTTCCAATGAGTATTGGATTTCCTTACTGATCAATGGTCTGGTGTCACCCGAACCAGGCAAGGTTGAAATAGAAAAGAAGCTCACATGTAAAAGTAACAGTATCAAGATTGCATTTCACTTAAGGACTGGTGTTAAAGTTTGGCTTGGGGGCATTCTTTCCACCTGGCAGAGTTCAGACTAAGGAGAGATTCTATTTTTTCCTCTTAATTAACAGTGAAGTTTACTCTTTCCAGTATAAATTATTCTTATATATACAAACATAAGAAAAAAGAAGATTAACATTCAAAAAAACAAGCTGCATAATATGGTTCATGAATTGGAACTATAACATCATTCTCTGTCCTTCTCTATATCAATTTTTTTCTAAATTAAAAAAAAAAAGGAACACCCAAAGTAAAAAATTTGGTATAAAAAAATCATATGTACTGTATCACAAAATATAACGTATACTTTAATATTTAGAAAGTGATATATTCATGCGTCATAGCACTTATATCTTGTTACAAAATTTTAAAATAATAACTACTGCATTTAGAAATTAAATACTTGATAATAGATAATAAATAGAATACAATACTCTTTTTTTATGACATCATGGAAGCTATTATAAAGAAGCTAACTCCAGTGTTTGTTAGGGTCATTTTAGCTGGTGAGGTTTTCAGGTTTAGTAACATTTTTCATGTTCAAAGAGGCTCCAATTAAACCTGTGATTATACTTAAAAAATGTGTTCCAATAATTACAATTTGATACTGATTTTTAAAACATAGAAACTCATTGAAAATACGTAGGAAATGGGCAGCTTATTAACGGTTACATATCTACAGTGAAAAGTGTCACTGATTCATTTAATTTTGTATGACTGATATTCATAAAATAAGCCACCTTGTTTCTTCTCTATCGGACAAGCTGGTGGGTATATCTAGGGTCTCTGGTCAGCCCTCTGCTTGCAAGTTCTCTCCTCAGGAGTGGAGGCCGCAATGTCTGCTTTACTTCCTACATCCCTCATGTTTGTAGGATTCTGAGCATCATATAAAAACACCACCTACACTGCTTTACAGAAAATAAAAATAGTAAAGCCAGAAGAATAGAAACACTCACCCTAATTCGCTCTGGTTTACTTACAAGAAAAGACATGAGTTCCTAATGTGTAGACCTACTTCAATTTCAAAAATTTAAACCTAAAAGGGAAATATAAACAGGTTGAATTAGTCAAATCTCCTTTTATAAAAATGCTTTTTGATTAACAAAAACTTACTATGAGTCTACCATTCAAAGCACTGTACCAGATCTATACATTTCTAGATTCTTCAGTGACAGTAAAACTGGATGTACTGGCCAAGTACATTGTGAGATACTGCAATCTCTATAAAAAAAGACAGGTTTATTATTATATGGTTTCTTCTTTAATTTTCAAATTTCTCTTGACCAAATTCCCCACTGATTCTTTCCCAGAAGCAGTTACCTTCAGTTCTTTTGGCTGTTTCAAGTTTATCCTTTTTACTATCATTCTTAAATAATGTTTACATGGCCATGACTTATCCATTTGAGACAGTTACCTACTAACTTCACTACTGTGGTAGATGAAGACTAAGCTCTCTTATATCACCTTCCTGCACCCTAGTTTCTTGCCTTCATTCTCCCAACATAATTCGAGCATAATTTTTTTATTAAATCAACAGTCTTGCATTTACATTGCTATGACTGTGGAAACATGGTTTAGAGCTGAGGCAAACAGTTAGAGATGACCATGTCTTTCTTCTTGTACACCATTTGTTTTCCTAAAGTTAATAACGGATTCATTTCTTTTTCACTTGCTTGGTTTCCCATATAGCTATAGGTAACTTTTTCTGAGTACTTCAATATCTCTGCTATTCATCTTATCAATATATTTTCTCATACATTCAAACTCATCCATTCCAATTTTTCCATGGAGGTTGCCTTTCCAAGGCCCTCTATCCCCCTGTTGCTGAACTTACAACCCCAAAATCGAGACGCATGCTCTACTGACTGAGTCAGCCAGGCAACCCTGCAACAACCTTTTTAGTGTGGAAATCTGGATCTTCCAATTCTGAGAAATATTCTTGTATTATTTCTTTGATAATTTTGTCTCCTTCACTTTCTCTGTTTTCATGTTACAGAATTCTTAATAGTTGAAGACTTACTTCTAGAATTACCTAGAATTAATTTATGCTTGTTTCACTCCTATTTTACAACTCTCTTTTCCAAGAGATTCCTTCCATTTTATTTTCTAACCCTTCTATTAATTTTTAAATCTTGGTTACACATTTCCAAGACCTTTTGCCATTTCTCAAATGTATCTTTTTTCATGTCATCCTGATCTTCTTTTATGTTTGCTTATAGTTAAAATTATATCTAGAATGGCTAAAAGCTTAATGCATCATGACCACATAGGGTTTATCTCAGAAATGAAAGACAGTTTTAACATTAAAAAATGAATCAATGTATACAAACTGTCTTTGTCCGAAGTTGTTTGCAAATAAAAAACAACCAATTTTAAGGAATTTTAAAAAGTGAATCAATGAAGCGCACTTGCTGGCTCAGTTGGTAGAGCATGCGACTCTTGATCTCGGGGTCGCGAGTTCAAGCTCCACACTGGGTGTAGAGCTTACTTAAAAAAAAAAAAATCAATGTAATTTTACTTGAATAAACAAGAAAAAAATACAATCATCTCAATAGATGGAGAAAAAGCATCTGAAAAAACTCAACATCATTCATGATTTAAAAGAAACTCTCAGGCAACTAGGAATAGTCAAATAGGAACAAGATAGAAATAGAATTTACCAAGTCAACATGGTAAAAGATATGCATAAAAAATGTATCATTAACATCATACTTAATAGTAAAAAGAATTAGTGAGTTCCCTCTAAGAACAGAAGCGAAACAAGAATTTTCTTGTTATCTCATCATCATTTCTGTTCATCATTGTACTGGTGGTCTTGGCCAATGCAAAAAGGGAAAAAGAAACAAAAGGCATACAAATTGGAAAAGAAGGTTTAAAACCCTTTATTCATAGACAACGTGATTGTATACATAGAAAATTATAAATATTTTACAAAAAAGACATTAGACCTAAAAAATGAATTTAGAAAGAAGGTCAATTACAAAACACAATTGTACTTCTATATACTAGCAATGAATTAGTAGAAAATGAATTTAAAAAAATGAAAGCTTACAGTATCAACAAAAACATAAAATAATTAGGAGCCTTTTCTTAAATTATAAATAAGATACGTATGTTTAAAATTATAAAACATTGCTAAGAGGTATTAAAGATAAGCTAAACAAGAGATATTCCATGTTCATAGATTGGAAGACTCAATATTGTGAAGATGTCAATTCCCTCAAGTTGATCTATAGATTCAGTGTAATCTCAATCAAAATCGCAGTAGACTTTTTAAAAGAAATTGATAAGCTGATTCTAAAATTTATACAGAAATACAATGTATTTATTTATTTTTAATAAATTTTTTTTTCAATGTTTATTTATTTTTGGGACAGAGAGAGACAGAGCATGAACGGGGGAGGGGCAGAGAGAGAGGGAGATACAGAATCGGAAACAGGCTCCAGGCTCTGAGCCATCAGCCCAGAGCCCGACGCGGGGCTCGAACTCACGGACCGCGAGATCGTGACCTGGCTGAAGTCGGACGCTTAACCGACTGCGCCACCCAGGCGCCCCCAGAAATACAATTTATACAGAAATAAAATTTATACAGAAATAAAATAGCCAAAATAATTTCGAAAAAGAACAAAATTATAAGACTTATGATACCTAATCAGACTTACTTTAATGCTATAGTAATCAAGTGTACTTTGGTTTAAGGATAGACAAATGGATCAATGAAGCAGAGTAGAGAATCCAGAAATAGATCTCTTTCCAGAAAGAGGACAAAGTAATTCCATGGGGAAAAATAATCGAATACAAATGTCTATCTATTTAGAAAAAATGAACTTTGACCCTTACCTTACACCATACACAAAAATTAACTTGACATGGATCACAGAACTAAAGAAAAAGTTAGAACTACTAAATAAAAACAGAGGAGGAAATCTTCATGATGTTAGGATAAGTAAAAATTTAAAAAAAAAAAAGGAATATCAAGAGCATGAAAGGAAAAAGAAAAATATGATAAATTTATGAAAATTAAAAAATTCTGTCTTTGAAAGATACTACTAAGAAAATGAACAAGTTGGGAGAAAACAGTGTGTGTGTGTGTGTGTGTGTGTGTGTGTGTGTGTACATAACATTTTATATACAGAATATTTAAAGAACTTCTACAATTCAATAAAACAACTCAATTTAAAAAATGGGCAAAAGATTTGTACAGAAGATATAGGAATGGCCACTAAGCACATGAAATGGTACTCAACATCACTTGTCATCAAGGAAATGTATATAGAGCTACAATGAGATACTACTACACACCTACCAAAATGGCTGAAAATAAAAACTGACAATACCAAGTGCTTGACAAGGATAGTTACCAACAGGAACTTTCATACATTAATGGGGATATATGGGGATAGGGATACAAAGTAGTATAGCCACTTTGGAAAATAATTTAGTAGCTTCCTATGACCAAATAATTCTGCTCCTAGGTAGTCTATTCAAAAGAAATGAAAACATATGTTCACATAGATTTGTATATGAATGTTCATAACAGCATTATTCACAATTGGCCCCAAACTGGAAACAAACGTCTATCAACTGGTAAATGAAAAAACAAAATGTAGTATATATGCCAGCAGAATACTACTCAGCAACAAAAAGAACTTTTTGGGTGATGAAAATGTTCTGTATTTTGATTACATGGTAGTTACCTAAGTGTATCTGTCAAAACTCAACAAAACCATTAACTTAATGTAGGTGTATTTTATTCAGGGTAAATTACATCTCAACAAAAATGATTTTTAAAAAAATTTTTTTCGGGGCGCCTGGGTGGCGCAGTCAGTTAAGCGTCCGACTTCAGCCAGGTCACGATCTCGCGGTCCGGGAGTTCGAGCCCCGCGTCGGGCTCTGAGCTGATGGCTCAGAGCCTGGAGCCTGTTTCCGATTCTGTGTCTCCCTCTCTCTCTGCACCTCCCCCGTGCATGCTCTGTCTCTCTCTGTCCCAAAAATAAATAAACGTTGAAAAAAAAATTTTTTTTTCATGTTTATTTTTGAGAGAGAGACAGACAGAGTGCAAGCAGGGGAGGGGCAGAGAGAGAGGGAGACATAGAATCCAAAGCAGGTTCCAGGCTCCGAGCTGTCAGCACAGAGCCCCACGCCGGGCTTGAACCCACGAACTACGAGATCATGCCCTGAGCCGAAGTCAGCCACTGAACCAACTGAGCCACCCAGGCACCCCACAACAAAAATGATTTTAAAAACCAAATGACGAGAGACACCTGGGAGGCTCAGTTGGTTAAGTGGCTGACTTCGGCTGAGGGCATGATCTCATGGTTCGTGGGTTCAAGCCCCACGTGGGGCTCTGTGCTGACAGTTCGGAGCCTGGAGCCTGCTTCGGATTCTGTGTCTCCCTCTCTCTCTGCCCCTATCCTGCTCACATTCTGTCTCTGTCTCTCAAAAATAAATAAACATTAAAAAAAATTTTTTTTAATTATAAAAAAAAGTCAAATGACTAAAATAATCAGAAATGCTTTTGAATAGTCTAGAAAAAAAAAAAAACACTGCCAAATTCCTCCTTTTTTTTTTCTAGGAATCCTTAGAACTGCTTCAGAGAAATCAAAGAAATAGTTTTCAATCCAGGGGAGAGAGGAGGCCTTTCAAAATCATCTACAGTTTTGTTTTGCTTTTTTTTTTTTTATCAAATTGCATTTATCTTCACCCCATCCTAATTTTCTTACAGAAGATCATCATCATGTTAAGAATCATTTATCCTGGAATTAAATAGTAAACATATTGACTGAATTTGAAGAAAAAAAGATTATTAGAATACACATTGTTTAATAACATTAAACACAAAGCATCATGCAAAAGAAATTTAAGAGGAAACAAAGTCCACATCCATATGTAGTCTACAACAGAAAGAAAATAGAATATTAATGTAGATAAAAAGATGATTTTTATCTGAAGGAACTGCCTATGATCTGGAAAAATACTAGCAATAGAAAATAAAGTCAATCCCAAAACACTGTATAAACTAATATAACAAACCTAAAAACTGGTCCTAGACCACCACACCAACAGCTTCATTAATTATCTGAACCATTGGCTCCCAAACCAGGATGTGTTTCAAATTAACTTGTTAGTTATAAAAACCTTTGGATGCTCAAACTCCCCCCTTCAAAAATTTTAATCCAGCAAGTCTGGGGAATGCACAAGTAGAAACGGGCAATTCATTATGGTGTTCAGCAAAGGGAAAAGACAAGGGACCTGAATAGTTTTATGGAAGGGATGGGGGGGTGGGGCTTGAATGTCAAATACAACTTAAAGAAAACAGCAATTCCAAGCATGAAATAGTATTACTACTGATTTTTAGTACATTCTTTGTTTTGTCCACACATGTATCTCCCAGTTTCTAGAATAGTGCCTATCACATGGTAGGCACTCAGTAATGTTAAATGACCAACCAAATATACTGACAAATGTGTTGGCACTTTGCATACTCTCCACTTAATGTGAGGCCAGTAATAGGAGCACAAGTCCACATATATGAGAACAATGAAGAGGCCTATGTGAATGCTAAGAGTATCGACTTTCTTCACCAGGCAATAGGAAGTAACTACGTTTTGAACAGAAAGGTGACAAACACAGAACAGCGGTCTAAGTGTCTCTCAAACTTTACTACGCATTCAAATCATTTGAGGATACTGCTAAAATTGCAGATTTTGGGGCGCCTGGGTGGCGCAGTCGGTTAAGCGTCCGACTTCAGCCAGGTCACGATCTCGCGGTCCGTGAGTTCGAGCCCCGCGTCGGGCTCTGGGCTGATGGCTCGGAGCCTGGAGCCTGTTTCCGATTCTGTGTCTCCCTCTCTCTCTGCCCCTCCCCCGTTCATGCTCTGTCTCTCTCTGTCCCCAAAATAAATAAAAAACGTTGAAAAAAAAATAAAAAAAATAAAAAAATAAAAAATAAAATTGCAGATTTTGATTTAGAGATCTGGAGTGGGGCCTGGTAGTTCTAAAAAATTTCCAGATGATGGTAATGCTGATCTGTGCACCATCGTACTGACTAATGTTTGAGAAGCCTTGTTGGAAGGAACATTCAAGGAATATTAATCTGCAAAGGGATGGGAGAAGGGGAGGTGAAAAGACCCAGAGAAAGGAATGCCAGTTAGAACACAATGCCAGTGGACCATATTTGGGGTGATAAGAGCCTGTAGGAGAAGGAATGGTAAGAAATAGATGGACAGGGGAGAAGGAAAAATAAAGAAATTATATTTAATTAGCAAGGACACCATAAGTCATCTAGCCCATCCTCCACCCTTCAGAGGAACAGCTTTTACAAACTCCTGAATGTAAGGTTACTTTTAACCTCTGCTTGAAAACTTCCCCCACTAGAGACTCTACCTTATCAGGGAACCCATTCTACTTGTGGACAACTCAGATGACTCCTGATTTTTTTGTGCCCAAGGAACTGGGAAAGAGTAGTGTGTCAGCGACAAAACAGGAAACTCAGAGGTGGAAGTGGTTTAAGTGGAATGATGAGTTCGAGTTTTTAAATCATAATGAGGTTGAGAAAGTAGATATGCATCCCAAATGGGAAGGTGTAGCAGTCAGTTAGAAGAGACACATTAGAGATGGCTATGTGGACTTGGGAGTTAGCAGCTAAAGCTCTACAAGTGACAAACTCCCCAAAGGAGAAAATGGGGAGAGCAAAGCAGGCTGGGGAAGCAAGCCTTGGGATAGGTCCATACTTAGGACATGGCACTTGAAGGCAGGTAGGAAATGGAGCCCAAAGGAAAAACTTTAAAGGTTCTGCTTCCCTTACTGGACCACTTTTGCTCCCCCAACCTGGTTAACTTTGACTTGTCAATGCTCACTACTCATCTCAGGTGTCCTGTGCTACAGAAGCTCTCCCTGACCACCGCTCCCCCCGCCCCCACTTATGTTAGGTGTTCAGTCTCAGTATTCAATCCTTACACCTACCACAATGTTGACTGCCAAGAGTCTTGTTCACTATTGCTTTACTCTGCCCAACACATAATATGGGCACTCCTGTATCTGTTAAATTATTAATAGTTAAAATAAAAAAAAAACAGTAAGCATTTATGGTGAACTTACTATGTGCAAGGATCTGTGCCAAATGCTTCACAGAGATCAGCTCACAATAAGTACTATCATCCTCGTTTTACAGATCAGGAACTTAAAGCTCAAAGAGGTTAAGTGCCCCAAATTCCCCACAGGCAAGTGGTAGAGGACTTGTCAGATCTTTTCCAAAGCCCGTGCTCTAGAAGCCAGAGTGCTAACACAGAAACATAGGGAGAAGTGTCAAGACTGTGTGTGCGAAGATACAAAGATGACTGAGAAGACATCGCCTGATTTGACAATGCTGCTGACCAGATGACAAACAGTATAGAAATAATTCATTTGCCTTGATTTATTTTTTTTCCCCCTATTTTTGTCACTGCTTTCCTAAACTTCTTCAATGTCTGGGGTTACAACTATAAACACTGCATCTGAGTCACAATATTCTAAGAAACCTGATCAAAGGCTGGGGGAACAGACTTAACCAGTTCAGCACTGTAACTAATGGCTGAATAGGATCCTGGCCTAAGGCAGGTAACCGAGTGAGACTTGCTTTCAATTCTCAGGGACAAGAAAGTCTTGGGTGTCTTTAGACAGTATCAATCAGTCAGTGAAGAACTGTCTTAATCCTTCAAATACATATTGGAATACGGTTCTACTTCAACAGGTAGTATACAATAAGAAAGGGACCAATACTAATGGCTTTTCCTCTTTGAGGGAATCAAATTAGAATATGCTAGGATATCTTAACAGAGAGCTGGGCTGATAAATTAGTTCCCCATTTCCTGGAAACTTGAACAATTTTATTTAACCACTCCCCTTCCCTCGAGCTCACTTCCCTACCCCCACCGCCCATCTCCACCCCAAATCTACTGTGGGCGCTGAAACATTCTTGGAAAACAAGACAATTAGCAGCTCTTTGTTTTTGCTGATTCAGGGAGTCACCTAAATCGTTCTTTTAAGGGGGTTTGCCTGTCCAGCCTGGGATAGATGGAAATTGGGGTTATGGGATCGGGGGTGGGGGGGTGGGACGGGGGGAGCGGAAGAGGTCAACACAGGATCGGCCGCCTCTTTGAGCAGGACAAACTGACACCTGGGCCCCAGGTTCCCCACCTGGAAGTGTGGGGGGTAAGATGGGTACGGAAAGCAGGCGCTCGCCTCTCCCGGCAACTCCGCTCCGGTGTCTCCCGGGCAGGCCCAAGCCTATTCTGCTCTCAGGCTGCAGTCCCTCATTGCGGGAATCGAGGGAACTGGGTGAAAAAGGGGCCCGTGGAGGGTGAGGGGGGGCCGGGATGGCCGATCTGACGAAGGCCCAACCCTGAGGAGATGGAATCGGAGTCAGGGCGAGAAAGAACTGGTCCTGGAGCGCACCAGGCGGCCCCGCCAGCCCGGTACCTGGTCCTGGAGTTAGCAAGCAGTCCCGACCCCGTCTCAGCTCCGCCTCCTGAGTTTAGGGCCGCGCAGCCAGGCCGGTTGCTGGGGGAGGGGGGCGGGGGGAGGAGAAGGTACGCAACGTGCCATGCGCAGTAGCGGGACCCGGGGAGGGCTGGTGGCGGAGAGCTCCACCCCGCCCCGGCTCAGCCCGCGCGAGCACGGAAGCTCCGCCTTCCCCGGCCCAGGCGGGTGAGGAAGCTCCGCCCCACCCCCGCAGCTGCGAGCCAGTGGGGCAGCTCCCCAGCGGTGGGTTCGTCGCCTCGGGGGCGTCCAGCCCCAGGGGAGGGCCTTCCTTTGTGGCCGCGTAAAATGCGCTTCTTCGCTTCAGAGTTAGCTCGGTCCTTGACGGAATCAGACGCAGTCTGTCTCTAACAGAAGGGATCTTTTTCCCCATGTGCGTGGAAGCCGAAGGCATTAGCTCGTCCTCGGTGGGCCCTGTGGGGTTCGACAAGAGCTCCCGGGAGCCTCCGCGCCCCTGCAGCAGGAAGTAGGATAATTTCAATAATGAAGAGTCAGAGGGACTAGAGTAGGGCAAATAGCTGATGACTTGGCTACTTAAAAAAAAAAATTTTTTTTTCTCATTTTGTGTGGCAGTACTTCAATGGAAAAAGCTGTTTCGCACTCTTCTTTGAAGACATCTCAAACGCCCTTCCAGCACCAAACGAGCTGCAAAGGGGAAACCCACTCCTTCTCTGTGCCTCAGATTCCTTATTTGTAAAAGGAGGAAAAATAGCTCAACTAACGTGAACTTTTTTTCCCCCTTCTGGATCTTTACGTCCCTGGATCCTTCCCAGTGCACAACTCTGAGAGACGTTCTGTAGAAACCCGTCAAGCCTAAGCCGAGCTGTGTTGGTCTTGACAGAGGAGGACACAACCAAGTGAGACAGATCTGTGAGACTGCGGTTTTTTCCAGTGACTTACCCTCGGGGTGGGGCGTGTGCCCACAATTAGGTAGCCCATCAAGTATTGAACACTGGCTCTTCGCAACTCTGACCCTCGACACAGATTTGTACTGGTCTAACTTCCAAGATGGGGGAGAAGTTCTGCTGCATCCAAACTGATGGATAAATGATGCTGAAACTCCATGTGAACTTTGACTAGTGACTGATAACGCGCCTCGGGGCCTCATTCAATTTTACATACAGCACTTTGATGTTACCTAGTCCTTTAACATTCCAAAGCACGGCCCTCACTACTCTCTCTCTCTCTCTTTCTCTCTCTTTTTTAAGTAGGCTTCAGGCCCAGTGGAGGCCAACACGGGACTTGAATTCACAACCCAGAGATCAAGACCCCAGCTGAGATCAACAGCTGCTTAACTGAGCCACCCAGGTGCCCCTATTCTATCATGTTCAAATTAGGATGGCGCTCTCTGCAGCAGATGTTAAACTGACAAAGCAAGATGGTAGAAAATGAAGTCAAAATCTTGGCGAGTTCTTCAGAAAAGACCTTCACATGTGGTCTTTGCAACTGAGGGTGCTAGAAAGGTCAGTGCCTTTAGAGATGCCAAGTGATGCAGCCGTCACAATGAGGAATTTGAATACGGAGGCTCCGCCCACCCCCTGTGGCCAGGCAGCTGTCATTTTCTAACTGGATGTTAATCAGGTAAGGAGGTTCCAAGGTCTCACCATCTTCATGATTGCCCACAAAAGCTAGCTAGAGAAACTTTTGGCCCAGACTTTGTGACTGTTTCAGGGAGCAAATTTCCACTGACTTTAGTTTTCCTTGCGAAAGCATCTCCTAAATCCAGATAGCTTAGAAAACCAGTGTTAATGGAAGGTCAACTTTCAGAGTTTACAAAGTCTTCCTGCTTTGCTTTTGACTTGTTATGGGCAAGTTTTGCTTTGAACTCTGCGCATCCAGTTTAAACTAAGCGCAATGGCCTCTTCAAGATAAATGATTAGAAAGGTAAGGTAAAACCAATTGCCTAGAATACTCAAGTGAGAGAAATGCTCATGATACTTGGTTTTAGTAAATTGGGCGGGATTATTTAACTTGTAGAACACCTTATACGTCAAAACACATTATACATGGTGTTTGTTAGGTCCTCTGAAGAGCCATTTCAGAAGGGGGAAGAGTGGATAATGCCCACTTATAGGGGAGGAAACAGACTTGTTCAAACACTAAGACCGCACCAGGGTCCCTGCCTACAAACCCAGGGCTCTTTCCTAAAGCGGAAAACTAGCTTCCAGCTTGGCTACAAACTTTCTAAGTGATACAGTTACATGCAAAAAAAAAAAGATGCAGAAGAAAGCTATTTGAGCACTTAAGTTCAAAATGTGATAGGAAAGCTGTTAAGAGTTCTCCCTCAAGCAAAACTGATACAATAACCTAGGCAGATGAACTATCTGATTTCCAAATGTAACTTCCCACAGAACTAATCACTTAAAAAGGCTTGGGTGTCTTTTAAGTAAATAAAAGTTATACTATTTGGATAAGACCAAATAGATGAAGTTAAAGAAGGCAGTTAATTTTAAAAGATGAAAATGAAAACACAATAGCCATTAAAAGTGGTACGGTAGATGCAAGTTTCTGCCTTTTAGGGAAAAAAAAAAGTCAGTTTTCTTCTGAAATCGGTATTACTTCTCAGTTAATGGAGCTGAGAAGATGGCATTTAGCTTGTCCAAAGATTAAAACATTACACTTTCTTCCAAATGCAAATAAATCTTTTGCTGGTCACCAAACTCCAGAAACGGAGAAAAGTAATACTTTTCACTATTGTTTTAGCAGTCTGTACTAGAAGCCACTCCTATTGGGTAGAGCTGCCTCCTCCCTTTGACATCCTTTAAAATCCTTCAAGATAAGTAGAAATAGGAACAGTAAGGAAAGAGAATCTGGGATAATACAGTATTTTACTCGTCCCACGAAAACCAATAAATCCACTGTAGAACACTGCTCTAAATAATTTTCACGTTGCCTATTCCCACTGGACAGGTGGAATGAAATACCAATCAGTGTTTTCCTTTGGTCTACTTCCCATCTAAAAAACGAGTTTCACAGCCAGTGCATGACAGGGAAAGGTTCTATTACTAAGGAAACAGAAATGTATATCATCCACGCCTCATTCCAAAATACCCTGTCAGATTTTGCAGCTAAAGTTAGAGAACTCTGAGAAGATCTGCTTGGTTTCCATTGGGATAAAGGTAAGCAAAAGAGAGTAAAGCAAAGATACACCATTTGGAGAATAGTCCTAGATGATACAGAATCTGAAACAGGCTCTAGGTTCTGAGCTGTCAGCACAGAGCCCAACACAGGGTTTGAACTCCTGGACCGTGAGATCATGACCTGAGCTGAAGTCAGACGCCCAACCGACTGAGCCACCCAGGTGCTCCCTTTTTTTTTAATTAAAAAAATTTTTTTTCTTTTTAATGTTTATTTTTGAGAGAGTGTGAGCCAGGGAGGGGCAGAGAGAGGGAGACACAATGATACCTTACATTTTTAAAGTGCTATAGTTCATAAGAGAATTTTACACATTACCTCTTAGTGTTGACCTACCTATGGAGTAGGAAAGAAAATAATTACTATCCTTACTTTCTAGGAAGAGGAACAGAACAGAGACTCAAAGAGGCTGGTGACTTGCCCAAAGTCAAGGGCTTAGTATTGATTTTGCTGGCACTAAAGCCAGGTCTTTATCTTCCCAGCCAGTGCCTGTTTTGTCATTGCTAAGCGCCCAGGCAATGCAGAAAAGGAGGGCTTAATGGTTTTCCAATGTGTGACAGTCAACAATATTCTCTCATTTATAGGAGAAAGAGATAATGGTGCCTTAACTAAAGAGGGGGGACTTTGAGGAGCCTGTTAATAATATATATGGCTCTAAAAATAGAAAACATTCTAAAAATAACTGGTAACAACTAAGGGATTAATATCAAGGCCAACTCTTTTGAAGGAAAAGCATTTCAGTGCTGACTTCCGTGGAACAGAAAGAACACTTCTATGAGCTTATACTTTTAATAGGGCAACCCCAGAAAAGTAAAGGCGGCACTCTGAGATTTTTGTGAATTAGTTTAATATATGTCCATAGGTAGTTCATATGAATGCTTTAAATTACAAAATTAGCTGCCATGGTCCAAATGTGTGGGACTTTAAGAAAGCTTTTATTAATCAAAAGATAGCTAAGCATATCAACTTTGATTTCTAAAACCTATTTTAAACTTTGTAAAACAAGGCTAATTCTAGAATTCTATAGCATTAAAGTAATTAAATGTTATTTTTGTTATTTTAATAACTTAATTTCATGAACTGTTAAAAAAAATATTACATTTGCATCTCCCAGTTTACACATTTCTGCATTAACTTAGAGAAAAACCCATGTGGAAAGTTTCCATGCAGTTACAAAGGCAGCAGCACATACTGTTTTCACAGCAACTTGTTATTGCCTAAGAACACACCTGTACATAAAGCATCAACAAAAAAATATCCACCCACCCCTCTCCCACCAAAAACCCAACCTTTTCCCATCCCCAGCAAAAATTACCTGGTACAAGCAGTGACTTAAAAAATGCTTTCTTAGTAGGAAGCATTTATAAAATGCAGAAATCTGAACAAGCTAAATGCTCGTGCAGATAGATGGGCCTCTCCTCAAAGAGTTCCTTCCTCAAGAGGCAGAAAGAACTCTCAATAGTTTAGGAAAGCTCATTTTTAAAAGTATATTTATGCATATTCATGGCTATTTCTTTGAAAGAACATACCCAGCCTCAACTGTGGAAGAAACAAAAGCAGAAGGAGAAGCAAAGGGACACAGCCATACACAGAGAATAGAGCTTCTCTATGAACATCCAATAGTTTGCAACAACCAAGAAGGAAAAACATGTGTGACTTCACATAGACCACTGATCTGATCTAGGTGAAGCAGTTAATTTTTCATGCATTTGTTACTCAAGGAAAACATACACCCACTTAAATACAGCATTCACATTGTCATTAGCTCATGGTATCAGGTAAGGAAGAAACTGTGCTCCTGTACTACCTATCCTTAGAATTTTCCATGTACATGTAAGTATCCTAAACCCTATAGATATAACACTGTCATCAGCACCTCCCACCTACAAAACATACATTG